GCGAAAGATGAAATGACGGAAAAGGGATAATAAGATCATGGAAAGATGAAATAGGCTTTTCTATCTCACCGATTTCACAAGTTGCACCGCTGTAACCATCAGGACATTTGCACGTATTTTTGGCAACACATTTTCCATTGTTTTGACACGAAGGATTGCAGATAGGCTGAGCTGAAGAGCAAGAAGACACTCCTACTAAGAGGGAAAACTTGATTGAGCATTGTACTTACCGTTTTCACAAGTTGCGCCACTGAAACCAGCAGGACATGTGCATGTGTCTTTAGCAGTACACTTGCCACCGTTTTGACATGGTGTGGCACAGCTCACATCACCTAAACAAGACATCAGAAGTATTGAGGCATGTAAGGCTGTGACAGCTGAAACTATGAGACGATCATACTGTGCGAGATCCGCTAGGCAGGTATAAAATAGCAGCCAATCCTAAATTCTTTGTCACACACACATCGAAATGTGACTTCATGGGGAATTTGATTTTGGGGCAAAATCAATTTTAGGATTAAAATTCGAAAATATGGAGACTTCCCCTGACTCACTAATCGATTTCACTTAATGATTGCAAGCATCAACTGCATGGCAACTACTGTTTTAAACAAGTATCTGTATATATCAATGCGGAAACCCATATAAACTACGGGGTCCAAGATTGTATATCAGCTTAGTGATGTTACCACTGTCTTGGCAATAGGATTCCAAGAACAATGAAATATCGTAGTAGTATGATCCCCTGAGCTGTTTTTAGCTGAGCTATTCAAATGATATCCTTCCCAAATCAGGCTGTTCATCTCGTGCAGTTATTGCATTATATTAGCATTCCCATCAATGTGATCATTGTGTCAGTGTGGGCAAAATAAGATCCTCATAAAGTATATTTATTTAGCTAATAAAGATTACACGGACTATAGACTTATGTAAAGTGTCAGTAATTAGTGTCGTCATTGTGGTCAATACAATTAAATACATATAACTTGTGAAGACCTTATTCAACACATTGACCACAATGATGTCCTTCTATTTAGTATTACTAAAAATTACTCTGATTTCGAATTCATATTCCGCATCGTATGGGAAATATGACACTAGAGTAGGTGACCATCTAAAACCACGGTCCTATGATGTTTCAAAATAACCTTGCAGATCTAGCAAATACGATCCGACTATACCGTCATTGACGGAATGGAAAATCATGCATATGTAGATGAGGTAGTATATATGGTTTATCGAGCATCAATACCACTAATCTCACTAATAATCTCTGGATTCTATCCGACTGCCTCTGAGACGCTTAGACATGTACGAACCTGAACAGCCACGTAGTGTAATATCATCAATCAGAATATCATTGCCTGATCCACCAGGTGCATTTGAAATCATCAAGAGATTCACTGTCGTNTTAAAGCTATTATTGTGTATATTAACTTATTTTTAGCGTAGATTAGATATTTTCACAACAATAGATATTTATACCAAATGTTAAATAGAGCATTAGATATTGTGAAGAAATATCAGTACAGTTAGGAAGATTATGGATGATTACATCGAAAAACGAAATTAAGAAAACACGATAGGCAATATCTGATGCAATGAGAGAAAAGAGACAGTTACTACATTGAAGATCGACTACAATTTTGTTCATTGTGAGTCCTTGCGCCTTGTATGTAGTTATAGCAAAGGCAGGTACAATTCCCGACCCCAAAATGTCTTCGGTAAATTTTTATAAAAAAAAAACTGTTTTTTACAAAAAAGTCACCCTTTGTATAAAAAAAAAACTGTTTTTTACAAAAAAGTCACCCTTTGTATAAAAAAACTAATCCATGTAAACATTTAAAAAAATAGCGCCAGATTCGAGTTCATCGACCCAAATAGCTCCTTAGTCAAATTTTATAAAAAATCATTTTTTTACAAAAAATTTCGAGAAACTAACATCAGATTTGAATTCCTGGACCCCAAAAAGCCTTTGGTAAAATTTTATAAGAAAAAAATTTTTGTAAAAAAGTCGTTCTTTGTCTACACAAATTCTTTTTTATGAAAAATTTCCAAAAAATAACATAAGATTCGAAGTCTCCGCACCGAAATACATCTAGAAATGTTTTTNCATTCGTCTCACAGTCTTCAAAAGAGTCAAATGACTACTTGTGCTGCTTTTAATTATTCTATATTCCTGACTGACAATCACTCTTCACAGGAAGCAGAAGTTCGCTATAAATGACTATTATGGATTTGCACTTTAAAACATGTCCTCCTTTTTCTAAAAGAAAGATAATTTCGGTAAAACCAAATGAGATTATATATTTCGCATTCGAACGTGCCGGATTGTTGATACTTTGGTAACTGACTAGATTACCAGGCGCCACTCACAACTCGTCGCTCCAAAGCTGTCCCTATGTATCATATAATTACCCGTGTGCTAATAAAAAGTATCGAAAATTAATTAGCATTCCATCAGCATCTCATAGATAAAATTATCTGTGTCCGAACATTTGAGACTATCTCCTTAATTAAAAGGCTTAAAGGCCTACAAAAACTTTGAATATATCGAAGCTCAGCATTTAAGATTGCTCTCCAGTATATAACTAGTGAATGAATGTATTTTTGGATTACTGGCCTTTAGTATGCGATAGTCAAGCGAGTGTGTTTTTACTTTTTCGTCATCACTCTTCTATGTAGCCCTCCTCTCAGGCGCGGTTGAAATGTTTTCTTCATTTCTGTCACGTCCCTGCCTCCTTCACCCCTCCTCCAGCCAACCTCGAGCCTCAGGATCCCTCCCAAATGATGTTTCATGAAGTTGTGAGCATTTTCGAAAAAAAATGTTCTTTTGACCTTTGACCCTGACACAAACAGATAGACAGACAGATAAACAAACTTTTTTTATATGACCCTCCTTCCAGTCGAGGGAATAAACACTTATTGGACACCGACGGCTAGCCGTGAGTGGTCGACCGGAGAGAGGCCGACAAACGACTAGACGTTATAATTTCAGAAGATTTCAGGAAGCGAAATCAGTCTACGTAAGACATTCTGACAAATTATCAAATGATCAGATCGTTCAACTGAAATAATTTTTTTTCTCTTCGGACGAATAGTAGCGCTCTAATACTATCCTTTCAGTAGAGGGTCTAGCAGCTACTAGGCCGCGTTACTTGTTAATAATTATATTTCCCAAGCTTTCTTCCCATCATGTATCATTCTATGCAACTTGATATTTACGCTTACCCAATGTACCTTTCAGTATGGATTTCAGAAAGACATCATCATGTGACATGAAATAGAGCATGGACGCCTACTCATCATCTGAACTTATTTGTATCGATTTCTTCGTTGAGATTGAGTAGGTTTTCGATGTAAAAAATCGAATTTTAAAAATGCTGCAGCAGCTTAAAGACGGACAAAGCATTGCTATTACTAGTGTGCATAAGTCGAATGAAAAATCAGTATGCAGATGCAGAATCACTCTCAGTTTCATCAAACTGTAATCGGTGTTTTCGAGTAAACGTCAGCTCAACACTTTAAGTTTACTTGTGATAAAAATGTTGTGACTATCTGTTTCCATTATGGCGGTGTTATTAATATCGCTAGCGAACATTTGTTGAGTCATGGTCAGGCTTACCAAATCAAAATATCAGGAATCAGGAATTTTTGAGGAAAAATCAGGATGTTTTTGCAAATGTATGAGAAGTATTATATGGTTGCTGCTAGATGGAATTTACCTTTTGGTTTATTATGGATATAAATACAAAAACGTTTTACAGTCTTCTGCTTAAAATGAATGATGAAATCTTTCCGTTTCTTCTAGTAAAAAAATTGATAGAAATATAATTTCACAATACCCATTTCGAGATTAATTTTATGCACTTCTAAGAAAAAAAAGATAACATAGAAAATCAAAATTGAATTACCAATAAGCATAAATAGAATATGTAAAATAGAAAATATATACCTAACCATTGAATAATGAATTCGTGGTACTTTTGCAATATGACTGTACCCATCTGATGATCGACTTTTTTTGAGTATATCGGGTTTAGTTAACAAATAGTCATCAAACTTTGTGCATGTTAGATGAGTATTGAGTTTAATCTTTAATTCTGCTCCAGCTAAATTTTGATTCATCTTATTTCTGTTGTTATTCCATAGAAATTGCATTTGACTAAAAACTGATTCACAGAAGGAATTCGCTGCAGGAATAGCAAATGCAAATTCAATCAATTTTCGCAAATCAGGAACATGTTCACCATCAAGCAAGAAATTCCATAAATGATCAGATCTAAATGATATTGAGTTATTCGTCTTTTTATGTTTATAAACGTTCGCATCGGGTTCACCGTCATTGGTATCACTATCATCAAGATTATCTTGATCACGGTCATTGCTTAAATTTGCTTCATGTTTAGTTGACGCTGTATTATACTTTGATTGACCTAAATTGGAAGGAATAAAGGACTCTACTTGAGTTGTAATTCCACAAAACTTTCCTTTTATATCAATATATTTTGATTTAATATGACTAAAATCATTACAAGTAACGCTCGTCTAGCGACTCGCTCAGCTCTTTCTCGTAGAAATCGTGCTTTCAGATATTACACTTTAAAGCTATTATTGTGTATTTTAATTTATTTCTAGTGTAGATTAGATATTTTCACAAAAGCCACAATAGATATTTATACCAAATACTAAATAGAGCATTGGATATTGTGAAGAAATATCAATACAGTTAGTAAGCTTATGGATGATAACATCAAAAAACGAAATTAAGAAAACACGATAGGCAATATCTAATGCAATGAGAGAAAAGAGACAGTTAATACAATAATTAAGATAAATGTGAAGCAAGAGATAAAGAAAATAAGCATGCGTGAATAATTGTTTTAAGGTAATCTCAAAGTATAATACGTTTTATATGCTTGCAATAACACTAGACTCTTAGCAAAGTATTGATTTACACATGTTTCAAAAAATGAAAGAGGTACACTCTCGTTTTGTCTTTTTTGTCAAGTTCATCTAAACGTTTCAGTTCAGCGTCTTGCGCAGAAGAAGGTTGAACTTGTAGAAGCTCCATGTCGACAGGTCGAAGGACAGCTATATCATCCCCTTTCTTCACTCTACTGAGTGATGCATATATCGATGCTACTTGCAGTGTCCCAGGTGGAACTTGAAGATCGACTACGATTTTGTTCATTATGAGTCCTTGCGCTTTGTATGTAGTTATAGCGAAGGCAGGTACAATTCCCGACCCCAAAATGCCTTCGGTAAGTTTTTATTAAAAAAACTGTTTTTTACAAAAAAAAGTTGCCCTTTGTATAGAAAAACTAATCCATGTAAACATTTAAGAAAAATAGCGCCAGATTCGAGTTCATCGACCCAAATAACTACTTAGTCAAATTTTATAAAAAAAACTTTTTTTGTAAAAAGGTCGCTCTTTGTCTAAACAAATTTTTTTTAGGAAAAATTTCCAAAAAATAACATCAAATTTGAGTTCCTGCACCCCAAAAATCCTTTGGTACAATTTTATAAAAAAAGTTTTTTTGAAAAAAGGCGTTCTTTGTGTAAACAAATTATTTTTTATGAAAAATTTCCAAAAAATAACGTCAGGTTCGAAGTCTTCGCCTCGAAATACATCTAGAAATGTTTTTTTGACCCTGCGGACATACAAGCAAACAAGCAAACAATTTATGTTTCTAAGACTCTTCTCTACGAGAAAGAGAACAGAACAGAAAGAGAAGAGAACAAACATTGATAATACAAGGCAATATTCATAATGCGAACATTAGCAAGAAAAGAACATTACACAAGGACACTAACTCATGACTAACATTTCTAAATGATAACTCATAAGATATAATATTTAGATGGACGTGTCTGCTGGCACACTCGTATTTTTCGCCAGGATGAACTTTGAATTCGTATTTTTGGAGATTCAAAGATTAGCTCGAACTCAATTCAATAACATTTCATCATCCACCATGGACGCTTCAATCGATCATGATACAAAAAAAAAATTTAAGTGCTTTTATAACGACCAACAATGACCAACAAGCTCATCAGTCACCACGAAGCTACGATAATTTCATAACAAAAATATGTCCTATTCCAAGTATATGTGGCAGTCGGTTAGAGAATTTAGTTGAGATTGGAATCTATGTAGATATAAAAGTAATATCTAAATCTATATTTCTATATCTCGAAAAAGAAATATCGAATACATAGCTCTATATATGTTGAATATGCTTTCTTATATTGATTCTGAATAATGAAATAAGACATCAATGGTAGAAGTCTCTATAGTTGATGAGTTTCGTTTATGTGTACAGATGAATAATAGAGAGAAAAGAAGATTACGATTGTTTTCATATAAATTATAATATTTTATTTATTTATTAACGAGATATGCGGGATGTTGAAATTCGAAAAAGAAAACTCATTCGTTTGTTTTTTTCATCACGGGATATGAGGGATATTGAAATTCAGAAAAAAAAAAAGAAATACTCAAATTCGAATAAGAAGAATTCATTCGTTTGTTTTTTTCATCGCGGGATATACGGGATATTGAAATTAAAAAAAAAAAAGAAATATTCAAATTCGAATAAGAAGAATTCATTCGTTTCTTTTTTTCATCACAGGATATGAGGGATATTCGAAATATTCTATTTGTCTTTTTGATTATTTCTGACAGAAGAAAGAATGAACTTGTATTGATGTATTTAGCTACATTATTTCACATCAATCAATTAGAATGCATAAAAAGGAAGAATCACATTGAAGATAAAGATGATTTTTCGTTCAATTGAAAGAATTTCCATTCAGTGCAATGATTGATACATGTTTAAGGAATAATTCTTATTCAAGAGAGAATTGATATTTATTGAGGGCATATTAAAAAAGAAATGAATATAATCATCGGTTTCTGGTAGAGATCATGAATGTGCTTGGTAGAAGAGATGAAATAGTTTGTTTTTTCGATTGAAAAATGGACTATTCATTCCGATTTTTTCATTCGTTTAGTTGATGATTTTCTTTTAGTATTATTTTGTCCGTTAGGATTGGTGCTTCGTTTCGTTCGTTTTATGGTACGTTTCTTGGGTTTGGTTACAGTAGAGTTTGTCGATGAAGTACTTAATGAATGACATTGATCTGAAAGAAAGTAAATTTTCTTGTACTATTAATGGAATAACGAAACATTAGAAATTTTCGATAAAATTGAATCTTCAGGTAAAGATCAGATTTTCCTTTATCGTAACTAATTATACTATGTCAAGACATGATTATCAAGCTCAAACAAGAGTAGGCAAGAGTGATTTTGAATATTACCGATCAATTTATTCATGTTTGAATCATCATCTGATAAATCATTCGTTTGTATAGATTTTGTTGTATCCACATCATTTTTACCACTGAATTTTTCATTAATGGAAAGGTTTTCGGAATTTTGTGTTGATATTGTCGCACATTCATTCTGAAACAATAAGTCAACATTCCAACAAACCCAAAGATTCATATTAGAAATGGAGAAGAGAACGATATTCTTTGAGATATCCGGTTTTTTTTTCAATGAGAATTTAAAAACAATTTACTTGTTGAGAAACATGAACAATTGTTGATGATGATGGAAGAATATTAGTAATTGTAGATATAGATGTTTGTGTAGTAGACGCGTCTATTGATTCATTCAAAATATTCATTGATAAGACTAATTGAACAGAAGAACATCGTTGAATACAAAAGGTTTTGTCAGAATCAATTACCGGAAGTCACTGGATTGATATATTCATCATTTGTTTGTTGATTAAAGCGATTCACTAGGATATTAAGTTGAATTAAATTCATTCCGTCCTGAGAATGCTTCATACGTGTTGGTTGAAAGGAATTCGATGTTCCTGTAAATGAAGAATCGAAATTGGTTTTATTATCTATTGTTTGAACATTTGAAACTGTCGATGGATGTTCCGTAAGCGATAAGATATTATTATCCTTTTGTTTGTTAGTGATGATCGATCCTGTGCTATCTGTGTTGTTGTCGGACAAATCTGATATGAAGACAAAAACAATTTCTTTGATTTAATACATATTTGAAGAGATACTTTGTGAAACGTCGCGAATTAAGTTCGTAGAAGTGGTAATGGGTAAAAATGTTGACGTATTAGTTTGATTGTGCGACGATGTGGTGTTGAGTGATATCAATGAGTGACTGGATATAGAGAAAATCGACGCTGTTTAATTATAGGAGAAGCAAACAAGAATATTGGAAAAGATTATGATCTCTTTATTCGCTTACAATCATGAAAACTTTCATCATTACATGAAGAATTATTTACGGAAGATCTTGATAATGTTTCATTGATGATGTTGGTGGAATCAGACGTTCTTTGTTCTTTCTCAATATCTAAAAAGACGAAGAGTTGAAATAGATAAATTTCATTTGATTATGAATTAGTCCAGTTATCATGATAGGTATAGAAGAAAGAGAAACATTATTTGATTCCCCCCGAAAGGATAAACTAGTGAAATGTCCAATTGCGAAAACCTAAGAAGATTACCATTGAAACGACGTTCAGGATATCTTTCATTCAGATAATGAAATAGAAATGTGTGTTCGGGTGATATTAACAATTCTTTTGCAGCTAATGTAAGTACTTGTTTTTCTTTTATCACACAAGTACACAGAATACTCATATAACTTGGCAAATCCAAATTTAAATCATTGAGTATCCGTTCAACTACAACAACTTTCGATGGATCATGTAATACGGTATTAGATGGATAAGATTTCATGTGAACAATTCCTCGGGATGTTGTCATCACGAAAGCTTGAAAAAGAAGTATGAATAATAAGTGATCTGCACGAACAATTTCAAAAGCATACGTCCTTGTCGTAATAATTCATAAGAAACAAGTTCCTTGAGAACAGTATTCACCATTTCAGAAGGATAGTGTCGAAGCAGGCCCATGTTACCGGTTAAATCAGATTTCAAAAAGAATAATTGTGGAAATCGGAATATTCGTTCACGAATTGTATTCATGTTCGTATGAACTAACAGATAATAATGGAAATATTTAAGATTCGATTAAAAGATAAACGTACTGGAAATTGACTGACTTCTGGTTGATTGTTCTTCAGACGTAATTAATGGATCAGTATTGTATAAAGCAAATAATGTCTTAAGTAAATGGCTACATAAGAGTGTTCCAGCTAGACGACAACTAGACGAATCAATTTGGATAATCGCATTGGCCGATTTGTATTTTGTTTCTATTATCTGAGTAACATTTCGAATGAAATTAAAACTTAAATCACCAGAAATGAGTTGGTTTTCATCTTGAAGTGTTCTGTTCGACGATAAGAAAAAGAAAGATTTTCCAATTTTAATAAGAAGAATAGAAATTTACTTTAAAACATCCATTGAAATTTTGAGAATTTGACATATAGCAACTAACTTACGCAATATCTCTGCGGATTTTCCCATGCGAGATCCATAATTAACATCATCCGGTTTTTCCATTTGCGATAATTCTTGATATTGTCGTACTTTGTTATAGAATTTTTTTGTTCCATTTCGACTCAGTACAAATTTACGTTTCTCAAATAAACGAACTACAATTAAAATTTGACATAAACTCGGTAAATTCTGATTCGAAGTTTCTTTCTGTTCTGTTTGGTAATCGTCATCACTGATATCATCATCATCGTCATTTTGATCGTTGCCATTAGCATTATCATCATCCAATTCATCATATTCAATTGTTTGAGATGAATTGAAATGAATTTCGTTTTTCTTCGGCATCACATAATGCAGGAATCTGGAAAAAAAGCAAATTACAAATGTAATTATGTATAAAACAATGTATGAATCGGTAGAATGAGAGAGATGTGACTGAAATGAACCAAGAGATGAAGAAAAACTATCGTAATTCATTTGATTTTTATCCATTTCAACTATCATTCTTCACCTGACAATTCACATAGAGTCAACTATGATTAGTTAATCAATTTGCGAATCAGCATTAGAGATTTCATTATGAATGAATATCATAATGAATGAAGGCCTACTGCTCCTTTTATCATATAGTTTTGTTTATAATTGAAGGAGACAAACAGGAAAACAAATACCGTTCAGAGAATCCATCACTTTGATAACCTTGTGCATAGAAATGTATCAATCGATGCCATAAACGACCAGTAGTTGCGCCGACGAAAGATAAATGGGAATTAATCTCCAAGTGATAGCTCATTGTATCTTTGCTTGTCGGAATTGTTCCGAAAAATTTACATCCAGCAATACGATCGGCTGCACTAACTTCTGACAATGGTGAATAAAAACCGAGTGATAAGAGTGGCTTTTCAGCTTCATCTGTTAAGATGAAAACATTAGTTTTAGAGAGTTTTGCCGACAGTGAAGCATTGGTAAAATCATCCATGATTCCAGCATCATCTTTTGAGACACCTAAGGCTTTCATTACATTGATGATCGCCTTTTTGATCGGCGATATGATCTTTGATTTTCCACTACCTTTTCCAATCAGCATGGATTATTTATTGTATTTTTATTTCACAAATATCTACCTGATGGACCTATCAGCAAGAGGAAAAGATTTAGTTTTGATATATGATTAGTGATCTTCACTGTTGATTCAGCACAAAGGTGTCCAACACAAACAAATAAGCTTAACAGTAATCCAATGGGATCTGTGCCAGTGAGGTTTTCATAATAATCCAATATTTCATAGAGTAACTTCATCGGACCATCCATGATCGATTCCAAATTGATGCGAATATTTCTCGCATTCGATAGATTTCGTTGCCATATAGCATTATTTATTGATTCTGTATTTTTATTCGTCTTCATCAATATTATGTGTATCTACTATAACGATCCGAATTTATTGTGTTCCAAAGTGAAATGATTTAGCTCTTTTTTTTTGTACCTTTTATGAATAAATATCGTAACTAAGAAAAAAGATACGAGAAAACAAATGAAGATTCAATCTGTTTTCTTTTCTATTCATCTATTAGTTTAAACGGAAAAGTCAATCAATAATGATGATAGTTAGATCAACTCTTTGTTGTCATTTACTCAATGTCTTTCGCTAACGTTTCATTTTTCCAGATAGAATGAATAGAAATATAAAGAGCTGAATTTTTGAGTTTTTAGTCCGAATGATTTCAAATAAATAAAAGAAAATTTTATTCAATTTTATGCCAGATTAAATTCGTGTTTTTACAATCTGGATCTTTGCAACGGATAGTAAATTTATGACTAATTAAGTCAACGAAAATTGCAGTGGTGTTTCTTTTGTGATGTCTGTTTAAACGAGGACAAAACCGGTATTCACCTCCTATGTTGAAAAAGATCACGTTCGGATTTCGGTTACCATGAATGCATGATCGTATATAACCTAAATGAGAAGGATCATTGGTAATTATCTTCTCAATGAACGATACGATTTCTTTCATGGATAAATCCATTGAATCGATATTCATATCTATAGTGCTTATCAAACATGAAGAACCATTTGATCTGGAATGATTAGACGTCTTTTTACAATTGGATACATTGGCATAAAAATTTATCATGTGATCATTCAGTTTATTCAAATTTATCAATTCGCAAATTTCATGCGTTGTTTGATCACGATGATTTGAATGTTCATATGCAAACTGATTGTTTTTTTGACATAATAAAGACACATCTTTTGATTCATGATAAGTTAACAATGAATATTTCAATATTTCCTTGTATGAATGTGTAACGGATTGAGTAGATACGAATGAAGAGCTTATGACCAGCGGATTTTGCTTGTGTTTTTTGACGCAATCAAACATACGAAATTGTTGATTGTTTGAATAAACACATAGATCAATTGCTAACGTGTATTGGTTGTCTTTATTCAAAACCAAAAGATAAGCAAGTTCCGAAATTGTAATAAATTTCGAATAGACATAACATTTGGTACAGCATGTACGTAGAACAGGAACAGATTCGCCTAATAAATCGATTAAATCTGAGATAGTACATTTTTCAAATGATTGATCCAGATTGAATGAGTCACATTTATGAATTGCAATGATTCGAAGGAAAAAATGAATTGTACCTTTGAAAAACAATCCGAAAGTTTGATTGTTTTCGAAAATAAATTGTCCATTCACATGAATAAAATGGTATGATATCTTATGAGATGTTGACCTAAAACAAGACAGAATTTTATATTTAACCACCCAACAATTATTATGAAAACATTTACGCTTCCAAAGCAAGGAATTTATCAAGAACAAAATCAATATTATCACTCTGGGTGTAATTGTATTTCATATTAAAATCAAATAACAAATGGAGGATCTTTAAACAGCTGATAGCTCCGATACGAGAATCACGAATATCAGGATTATAATCAATATAGTATTCAAAATCAATATATGGTTTCACATGTTGTTCCGAACTAATCAATTCATAAAAACAACGCTCAGATACCGGACACAGTTGATAG